TGCATGTACATACACACACACAGCACACTCAGACACAGCCATGTACAGACAGGGGCACTCATGCATGTACACACTCCCCCGCACACACTCAGACACAGCCATGTACAGACACACAGACAGGGGCACTCATGCATGTACACACTCCCCCGCAGCACACTCAGACACAGCCACGTACAGACACACAGACAGGGGCACTCATGCATGTACACACTCACACACAGCCATATACAGACACACTCACAGAGGCACTCATGCATGTACACACTCACACACAGGTACACTCATACACACCCATATACATGCATACTCACAGGCAGGCACTCATATGCATATACATGTACACACAGAGACACTAATATGCATACATACATATACACTCATACAGAGACATGCACATACGTATACACATATACACTCATGCATATACATAGATAGATTCACATGGACATACACATACACACTTGTACATATACATACTTACAGTCACTTAGATAGTTATGGTTTATTGTGCCAACCTGGTTGATAAACACATGTGGGATTAATTGATGGGCGCAGTGATAAATGGCTCAGTGAGCCTCGCCTTTCTAGTTCTCGGGTCTCTTGCTTTCTGATGGTTTGACCAGGACGCAGCTGCCTTAGCGAGTTCCCACCTTCAGCTGGCAAGGCTCACTTTCTGCGAGATCCTGAGGAGAAGCCACCTGGACCTACCCTGATGCCTACAGGGTCACTGACTTGGCTTTCCTCCTGCAGTTGGCATCATTGTGTGTGTTTTGTGAGATGGAGGAGGACTTTGTAGATCAGTATGGGCTAATGTTGGACTTACGGATTTGGACAGGACTGGGTTGGGATGCCTTCTTAATGTATACTTACCCTTTGTCTAAAACTGTCTCTTATATATATGAGTTTCTGTGGATTTGTTTCTCTAATTTACCCAGACTAACAGTCACACTTACATAGACACCCATATGTGTGTACATATACACACTTATCGATAATGTATGCATTTGTGCACATATATACTAGCATACACACATTCATATGCATGTACATATACATACTCACACACATCTCCACTCATACACACAGATATATTCATATGCATCTATATACACCTATACACACATGGACACAAATCCATACATAAATGTGTGTGCATTTGTTCAAACATATGCACACACTCATAGCTCCCGTGCCCCTGCGTCTGCACACACTCACACTCACACACGGGCACACGCTGCAGACAGCCCTCCCGGGAATGCGCTGTCTTCGTCCTGTTTGGGTGTCTTCGAGAAATGGCGCTCGTGGGCCGTGGATAAATCTATTTTGAGGTCAGGGCGAGCAGCACATGGCCGACAAAATGCAACGCAAATCTTCCCAAAGCACTGCTGCTGCGCAGCCGGTTTCCAGGGGTGAGCGGAGCAGGCATGTGAGGAAGGTCAGGACGGCGTCAAGGGCGGGCCAAGGGCAGATGGCTGTCAGCCTGGACACATGAAGAAACTGGGTGATGCCCAGAAACTGCGGAAGGAGATGGTGGGATGCCCAGACAGGCTGACGCTCGTGCGCCCTTCCTGTTTTGAGCGAAAGGACCTCAGAAAGGACCTCAGCGCTGGGGAATCAGCGACTTCCGAGAGCTGGTCTTTCCAGCAAGGTCAAGGTCAGTGACGATGGCTTTGAAGGCCACGACCCAAGGAACACAGGATGCTCGGGGGTGGGGGTGGGGGGTCCTAGGTGGAAACACTGCCTGCAGCCCCACAGAGACTGAGCAGGGGCTGTGGAAAAACTGTCGTTTCATTTCTGTCTACAAGGGGCTTCTGCTATGATTTCTCAGCACTTCCTTTTGTGAATGTACCCTCCACACACGCACACAGATTCCATACACTCACACAGATATACATGCATTTTCATGCACACGTGTGTGCATACTCACGTGTACACACGCCCATACACAGGCATGCACATAAACACACCTACGCATGCTCCCAGACATTGCACGATGTCCTTATATACATAGATATCCACACATACACTAACACAGTCACATGTAGACACACACCCATGCACTCACACTCAGACACACACACACATACACACGCACTGCACACACACATGCTTGCACTCACACAGCCACATGTGTACACATACTTACAAGCACACACACATGCGCACGCATGCACACCCACATGGACAGGGCTCTCTCGGTCTGGTCACTCCATGGCTCTTCCGCCTGGGACCATCACTGTGCAGGACCCGGGCGGGGCTGTCTCTGGGCTCTTTCTCTCCTTCGCCCCTTAAGCTCCCTGCCCTCAGCTGGTGAGCACAAGGCCCCAGTCTTTCCCAGGGAACCCCTGTGGGGTAGAAGGTCCTGGCCAGCCACCCAGCCACCCGCCACCCACTGGGAGTACCCTGCCAAGCTGGGCTGTGGGGGAGGGCTTGGCCCGAGCATCATGGGGTGGAAGTCATGTAGACCTTAACTTCTCGCTCAGCGTCCAGTGTCCCTCCGACCTGCCCCTGCAGCAGGGCATAGGCGCGCTGCAGAGCCTGGTACTCCATGGTGAGCTGCCGGAAGCGCAGCTCCGCCCCCTCCTTGGCCACGGCCTGCATCGGAGGAGAAGAGGTCAGGAAACCCCCAGCCCCCAGGGTGGCCCTGGTGCTGGAGACCCAGCAGGTGCCCACCCTGTGCTCCCGCGTGGGGGCCTCTGGCCAGAAGGGGCAGCCCTCTCGGGGACAACAAGCCAAGTGACGTAGCACTGTTCACAGTCCATCATGGAGAGAGAGGCCCTATTCAGAGAGAGCAGGGCCCTGTTCCACACCTCCCATGCCCCATGCCCCCATGCCCCCACACCCTCACGCCCTCGAGAGGGCCCTGGTATCACCTCCTCCAGGTCGTCATCAGGGGTACACGGGGTCTGGTCCGTTCTGTCTGTCTGGTAAGAGATGGAGGAGCCGTCCGACTCCAGGGAGGCTTCCTCGTCGTAGCCAAAGAAGGTCTCCACCACCACTGGCTGGGGGAGGGGGAGCGTTAGTTCAGACCCAGGCCCGGGAGGCAGAAAGAAGCCCCGCTGTCCCCCTGCTGCCCAGTGACCAGCGTCAATGCCCTCCGCCACCCCACCCCACATGGCCCTTACTTCTGTTCTACCCAAGACCGCCTTCCCTCGGGCAGGGGGTGGCCTGGCCAGCCAGGTGCCATCCTGGACACAGGCCTGGAGCTCCACAGGGGAGTGGTCAGTGGACCTTCCTGGGAGGCTGGGCTAGCTGAGGCCTGGGGTCAGGCTCATATGTTCTACAGACCCAGCTTCCTGCACATGGGCGAGACCCCTGCAGCAGTGAGAAGAATGTCTATTGGACCACCCATGCCACCCCAGCCTCTCCTTCCCAGTCCCCAGGTCCCGAGGCTCTGTCCTCTCATTTAAAAATGCTCCCCGCCCCCAGATCTTCCAAAACCAATGGCCTCCTCTGGCCCTGCCCTCAGCTCTCACTCACTCTCCACCATTGGCCAGCACGGTGGGCTCTGGGCCTAAAGGCCTCAGGACCATGCAGTGGGGACCATGTCCTCTGACAAGGCTCAGCGCTATGGGCCCTGGAGCACAGTGACAGGTAAAGAAGCCACATGCCCATGTCCACCCTCCCACCCCCCTACACCCCCACCCCCACCCCACATAAAGCACCCCACCAACACCCACACGTCCATGCCCACACATGCCCATGCCCCCCACACCACTGTCCACACCCTCCCACACCCCCCACAGCCACACCCCTATTCCTATCCCACCTCCACCCCTATACCCACAGCCACATACTCCCACAGCCATACACACATACCCACACATACACCCCCCACATGCACACACACTCCATACATATACACACATATACACACAAGCACATACCCACACAGACATATATTCACATGTATACTCACACATACACATGTACACACACAAACACACACACGTATGCACACACTTCACACATATACACAAATACCCACCCACATGCATGCACACACACATACATACACACATGTACACACTCATACACATGTACACACCTATACACACATACACACAAACACACACACATACCCCCCCCACACACACACACACCATACAAAGCAACACACACTGTGAAGACCCGGAGGGGCGTCCTGCAGGGTGGCCTCTGTCTGAATGGCCCCTTCCTGTCCTCCTCCCTCAGGCCTGGTGCTGTCCAGGCCCAACCAGAGGGGCCCTGGCCTCTCCGGGCATTTTCCCACAGCCGCCTGTGGGTCACACCTCTCTTTTCAGGGTCAAAGGGCAGGCCTTTGTCTCTGCTGTGCAGCATTAGCACCTGGATCCGGTGGACAACGGACCAATCCCCCCCCCCCCCCCCGACCACGTGGGATGGGGCCACGGGACCCTCGGGTTCCATGGGCTGGTTTTGGTGAGTCGGGGCCACGCCCATCTTCCTAGCCTGTGCTGGTCTGGAAGGCCCTGTGGAAGCCCCGTGGCCAGCCCCGATGGACAGACAGGGGAACTGTGTGTGAGGGGCCCTGGCCGGCACCCCATCCTGAGTCTCCCACATAGAGGGGAGAACTCACCCCAAGCACCTGCAGCCCTGCCTAGCACTGAAGCGCGCCCCTCCCACACTGACTACCCTTTAGAACCCACACACTGGGTGTGGCGTGGGCACCCGTTGGCAGGTCTCAACAGTATCATGGGCTTCTCAGAGGGGTGCTGAAGAGAAGGACACTGCGCTTCACACACAGCCCCCCACCCGGGAGGGACCAGCCTGGGAGTGTGTGTGTGTGTTTAGCATGGGGGGGGGCTATGTGTCTCTGCATGTATGAGTCTGTGCGTCAGTGTGTGTGGCGGCTGGCTGGGTCTGTGTGGGTCTGTCTGTGTGCGTGTGACACGGAGGTGTGGGTCTGTGTCTGTGTGCGGCCATGAGTGACGAGGGTGGGAGTGCCGTGTGGGTCTGTGTCAGTCTGCAGGCAGGTGGGGGTCAGGTCCTGGCAGGACCTCTCCCTTGGGAGCAGGACTTGCTGGGCTCTGCAGCATCGCCCTTAGACCGGCATCCACGCCTCGGGAATCCACGCCTTAGAGAGCTACACTTCAAGTCACATCGAGGGGCGCTTGGGTCTGACTCGGAGTTTTTCACACTAACAAGCCTCAGGAAAGTGAGGTGACCCCTGCCTCTTGTGGGAGAGGCCTCGCGTGGGTGGCACCGGTGGGCCTGGGCAGTGCAGGCTGGCATGGACAGCACCGATGGGTGTGGGCAGCATGCTTGGTGGGCATCGGTGGCACTGGTGGGTGTGGGCGGCGCTGGCAGCTTTACCTTGGGGATCTTCGCCATCTTCTTCCTCTGCTTCCGGTACCTCAGAAGCTTGTCCCGCTCCTGAAAACACCAGGTGAGGGGACCTGTACGTCACTGAACAGCCACCTGCTTCCAATGCACTTCCTGTTTCCCCCGCACCTGAGCGCCAGGCCTGAGTGTGTGTGTGTACACGAACGGGTGTGTGTGTACGTGAGGGTGAGTGTGTGTGTGCATGTGTATCTGTGACTGTGAGAATGTGTGCGTGTGTGCCTGAGTGTATGTCTGAATGTGAGTGTGTGTGTACATGAGAGTGAGTGTGTACATGTGTGAATGGGTGTGAGGATGTGTGTGTGTGAATGTGAGTGTGTACATGAGTGTGTGTCTATGTGAATGAGGGGTGTGTGTGTACATGGATGTGTACATGAGTGTGTGTTAATGGGTGTGTGTGTGTGTGATTTCATGAGTGTGGGCGTGTGTGAATTGAGGATGTGTGCGTGTGTACATATGTGTGTGTGTGTGTGTGTGCATGGGCCCACTAACAGGCCAGAGGGCGAGTGAGTGTGTCTATGTGAGTGTGTGTGTGTGTGTACATGGGTATTTGAGTGTTCTTGAGTGCCTGTGTGTGTGTGTGTGAATTGAGAGTGTATGTGGGTGTGTGCATGAGTGTGTGTTCATGGGTGTGAGTACATGAATGTGAGCATGTATGTGAACTGGGGGTGTTTGTGCATGGTGTGTACATGAATGTGTGTTTGTGAGTGTGTGTGTGTGTCTATGTGAGTGTGTGGGTGTACATGGGTGTTGATGTGAGTTTGTTCATGAGTGTGAATGTATTGAGGGTGTGTGTGTGTGTGCATGAGTGTGTGTTCGTGGGTGTGCGCGTGTGCGTGCATGGGTGTGAACATGTATGTGAATTGGGGGTGTGTATGTGTGGGTGTGTACGTAAGTGTGTGTGCATGAATGCGTGAGTGTGAGTGTGCCTATGTGGGTGTGGGGGGTGCGGGTATGTACATGGGTGTTTATATGAGTGTGTTCATGGGTGTGAGTGTGTGTGAATTGAGGGTATGTGAGTGTGTATGAGTGTGTGTCTTTGTGAGGTGTGTGGGTAAGTGTGTACATGGGTGTGTGCATGAGTGTGAGTGTGTGTGAATGTGTAACCATCCCCTGAGATTTCCCACCTTGAGGATTTCAACTTCAAACAAGTCCCTGGAGCTCTGACACTGGGCTCCCCGACACCCACTGATGGGAAGCACCCGCAATCCTGTGGTGGTGAGCGAGCTAAGTAGCCCTGGGCTTCGAAATGAGGCCCAGAAGCATAACCAGAGCTGGGCACCTATGCAGGGTCCCCAGGGTGGCCCCTGGCACCTGACTGACCCTCATGGGGCAGGAGGCCTGACCATGACCCAATTCACCCAGCTCAGCATCTGTCCACACTGTGTGCTGGCTCACGCTGTGGACTCGGGGCCCCTCGCTGGCTGGGGGGTGGGGGGTGGTACTTACTAGCACACTCTTCACGTAGCCCGCCGTTTCCAGGGTCTAGACAAAGCAAGCAACAGGTTGTAGCACGTGTGACACGGGGCCAGGTCCTCAGGGCTGCAGCATCCTGGATTGTCACCCGGAGTGATGGGTCCCCCAGACCCCTCCCCCAGACCCCTCCAGGCTGGTGCCATCCCAGAGAGGGGTTTTGGTTCCGTCCTGACAGCCCCTCCATCCTCAGCCAGACTGCACATGGGTGGGGGGTGGAAAGGGAAACTGCCTCAGCCTGTAGTAGCCTAGACTTCTGCCTTCGACTCCTGGTCATTCTGACAACTGCCAGCCAGTGCTGTGACGGTGACTCTTAGGAAACAACCGTGCACTGGCACCTCTGAGCAGGTGACGTCACCCCTGAATGGAGGGAGAGCATCTCTACCAAGCACGGGGTCTCTGCCCCCAGGAAGGGTGACAGTCATGAACACCCCCAGGGCGGCTCATCTCTGTCCTGTCGGCTGGCTCTGAGTCAGAATCGGCTTGATGGTCGAGTCTGTCTGAAGAAAGCCAGGCCCCTTCCTCTTTCCTGGTCCAGGTGTGCCGTTCGATCCCAGAGCCAGGAGCTCTCACCTGGATGAAGACGTGCTCAGTGCTTATTGAACCTGCCGCCTGCCTGCTCACTCACTGGGAGAGTTCCCTAAGCCGCCCTGCCTACTGACGGACCAACGTGAGAGATCACAGGAGCAGGGCTCTGTTCTGCAGGGCTGCAAGGAGCTGGGCAGGACGCGGTGGCTGTGAGGTTTAGGATTTCCATCCTTACACCCCTCCCTCCTAGCCAAGGACTTCAACCAGGGCAGGCCTGAGCTGCCTTCAATCCCAGACAAATGGTTGTACAGCGAGCTATAGAAATGCTGCCTGAAAAATAAATAGCTAAACCAAACTACACTAACTAAATAATAAGTGGAAAAAGAAAGCTGCCAGACTGGTGGTCCCAGAGGATGAGGAGCCTCGGCTGCCCGGGGTGGACGTCCGAAGGCTTCTCATCTGACGGCCTCTTGCACAGAGAGGTGCGTGCGGAAGACCTCTGCAGGGGACACGTGGCAGTGACAGGTAGACCCAGGCAGTGAGGTGACCCTACGGAGCCCCCTTTCCTACCCCACCCCCAGCCACATCAGAGCCCACTAACAGGCCAGAGGGTGAGGGTCCTGGGTGGGAGGCGGGCTTGATGGGGCAACAGGAGCAGGTGGGCAAGGGGAGGCCAGTTACCTTGGAGAGTTCATCTATGAGGTTCTGCTGCTCCACAATCTGGAGCTTCAGGAAGTCCACTTCCCGCTCCTCCTGACTCTGGTCCAGGTCGTTCAGGGAGCTGCTGGGCCTCCTAATGACCCCGGCCCTTTGTCTCTGCAAAGTCACGGGCCGTCTCTCCCTCAGTGCGCCCACTCACAGCCCACAGCCGAACCCACCAGAAGCTTCGGGCCAGGAGAGTTCAGGGCCCACCAGGCCCTGGGAGTGAGGAGAAACTGCTGCCCACTAAGCCCAGGGAAGGGAGGCCCATTCCCAGTCCATCCCCACAACAAGTGGGGGTGTGTGTGGGGGGACAAGCCAGAAACCCTGCCAGGAACGGCTCAGGGACCAGCCGCCAGCAGGTCAGGGCAGTGCTGCGTCCCTTGGCCCCGTCACCCCCACCGGGCAGTTGTGGGGTGACCTCAAGGGACTCGTGCAGGGAGGGTGCTGAGGGCACTTCCACCCCAGGCCTCTCATCCTGTTGACCACTCAGGCGAAAGTCCTGGTTGGTGGCCCTGGGACCCTTGGGGCCTGAAGGAGGAAATGAGACGGGCTACTCAACCCCACTGGGCACACACAGCACCTTTATCCAGTGCTGCCCCAGGTCTGCCCGTTTCTTCCCCTCCTATGCTGGCAACCAGAGCGGCACTGGCCAAGACTTCCGAGTTGGAAGGCCACTGCTGGGTGCTCTGGGTCAGAAATGGCACAGGCCTGGAGGGAGGGAGCCAGATTGGCTGCCCTGTCTCATGCCCTGGCTGGTCTGGGCTGCAGCGCTTAGCTGAGGGGTCCTGTCTAACCTGCAGACAGCGCAGGGGCTTGGGGAGTGGTCTGGCCTGCGGGTCAGAGGGAGCATGTCTGGCGGGGCCCTTACCATCTCCAGATTCTCCTGGGTGATGAACTTCAGCTTGTTCTCCATGCGGCGCAGCGTGTGGGACAGGTCCTCGTTCTTCCGGCTGAGGCGCTTGTTTTTGTCCAGCAGCGGCTTGTACTGGCTCTCCGCCTCCCGCAGCCGCTTCAACTGGAAGACAGAACGACCGCCATCTGCCGTCTAGTCCAGGGCCGCCGCTGACCAGCACAAACCGCAGTGCACCAAGTCCTGTGTGGAGTCAGGCTAGCTGCTGCCCCCGGCCACCCATCGTGGCCAACTGCAGATGGGCCGAGGCTGTGCACAGTCACAGTGAGAGCGGGAGAGAGAAGTCTGGCCACGCCGTGAGGCTGAAGCTCCGTTGTGGAGCAAGAGTCCAGGGGAAACCACGGCCGAACCTGCATGACTGCCCAGCACTACCCCGTCCACACGCACATGCATACACATGGACACGCACAAGCACAGGCAACTCCAAACCTGAGGATACCTTTGCCCCAGCAGAGCCCTGGCGTCTTGGGCTGCTAACCAGAAGTTAGCAGTTCAAACCCCCAGGCGGTCCAAGCGAGAAAGAGGAAGCTGTCTGCTCCCATAAAGAGTGAGAGCCGTGGAAACCCACTGGGGCAGCTCCACTCTGCCCATAGCACTCGGTCTGAATGGACCAGATGGGAGGGAATTCCATGGGGCTCTTTCCCACTAAGCCAGGGTTGCACCAGCCAGAGCCCGAGGGCCTGTTGTCCAGTTCAGATCTCCGGGGCCACTGACACTCTTGTCCACGAGGCTGCCTGTGGGCAGTGGCGACTCAGTCCCGTATCCCACAGCGTGACCGTGTGCAGAGAAGCTGCTGCCCCTGCTCTGTCTGGGGCATGCCCACGTGGCTCGTGCAATGATGTATCGGGCAACTGCCAGCCGGGCTCACTGAACTTTGAGCCAGGCGCTTTTTAAAACTGCATCACAGAGGTGCAGTTCATGTGTTACTAAAGGCACTCATTGTAAGGGGGTCGTTGGATGCCTACTCGGCCCGAACAACCTCTGAAACTGGCCTTCTAAAACAGACTTTGTTTCTGGGCAGAAGGCAGTTCCCGCACACCCTTCCTTCCAGTCTTCCGGCCTATAACACACGAGAGTACACACACACAGACACACACAGCCTGCCTGCAGGACCTTGTTGCAATGTCCATACTTTGTTACTAGCTCAAGTCCCTGGTTGGGGGCTCATTCTCAGTGCCGACCAGTCCCTAGGACAGTGGAAGATGCACCGTGTCCTTTGTCCACCAGGGGTCACATGAGGATCAGTTTCCCTGTGTTGCACTCAGTTACCCCCTCCTGGGCTCCTGGGCCCACTGCTGCTTCCACTGTCTCTGAAGTTTAGATACTTTCCCTCAAATCATTTGGACAAAGTGACAGGGGTCTGTCCCAAGAGGAAGTACTCAGGGGCTAATCCCCTTCCCAGTTCCAGATGCCGCTCAGCCCAACACCCCCGCTCCCAGTCACTGTGGCCCTCCCACCGAATACCTCCTCCTCAACCCTGTATCAGAGCCTGAGAACTGGCTCCCCACCCCTCCCAGGTGGGGAGTGGGGTTCAGTTTACAGCAGCTTACAGCTGGCCTTCCTTACCCGCCCGCCCTCTGCTGTGGGGACCAACTGTCTAGGGTCTCTCTGACCCCCAAGGCATTGAGGGTCCTTCCCAGCGACCAGGGTCCTATGGGAGTGAGAAGGGTGGGACTCTTCCTTCCACGACAACCCCAGTCCTTATGTGGCCCCCCCACCCCAATAAGAGTCCTCCTATTCACCAACTCCTTATTCCATTGGGAGACCCAGGTCCCTCTGTGCCCCCCTTCACAGGGCCCAGCTCATTCCTCCAGGAGGAGCCCGTGTGTGGTTGCCCCCTCATAGAAGACCCCACTCACCAGCTTGTTCCTCTCTATGGGGATTCTCAACCCCTCTATTGCAGCCCCCATGGGTCATCCCCCCAACCACCAGCTTGTACCCTAGTGACAGGTAGACAGATTAGGAATAAAGGAGCTGTCTCCACCAAACGCCTGTCCTAAACAGGCATGAGCTGGCCATGCCACAATAAAGGTGTCGGAAAGGGATCGGGCACACATTGGACACTGATGGGAGAATCCAGAACTAAGCATGCTCAGACTATGGTCACCTAGACTCGGGTGAAGGTCAGCCTTAACCTTCACAGGTCAGTATCACAGGTGTGGCTCAACTTAGTCACTAGGGATGGCAATACCCTCAACCATGCCCCCCCACACACACACATCCCCCCAGCCAGTGAGGATAAGAGGGGATCAAAGCAGGCCACCGGCAGACTGCCCCCTCTCTCTTTCAGGTGCTCTCCTTGGGTCAGAGGTGGGATCTCTCCTGTGTGCCAGGCATGCAGGTGCCCCTCTCAGGGCACTCTCTCCCTCCCTCCTCTCTCTCTCTTTCTCTGCTCCGCACTCTGGTTCCACACTCTTGTTCTGGGAAGCCTTTCACGTGGATTTTTGAGATCTTCTGAAGTGGCCATCTCCAGTCTTGACCTCTTGCTCGGTCCCGAACAGCCTTGCACGCTTTCCAGAAATAGTGTGTATTTTCCGAGACTGACATACCTGAAGGTTCCCTTTCCCTCATACAATTTACTTGGATTTACAAAAGTGCTTCTGCCGCGTGAATTCTTTCAGCGTGAGCGCACACACGCAGACACACACAGCCTGCCTGCAGGACCTTGTTACAATGTCCATACTTTGTTACTAGCTCAAGTCCCTGGTTGGGGGCTCAGTGCCCACCAGTCCCTAGAACTTTCAGCGTTGAGCAGCAAGAACAGGTCAACCACCCCAGAAACCCTCCCACCACGGGACATGATCCCCTAGTCCCCATAGCCCCCTCACCTGATTGTTCCCCCCACGGCCTCCCTCAGCGGTACATCCCCTGCCCCCACAAGTTCATTCCCCGCATACCCCCCTCACCA